GTAGTATGAGACACTTAAGGAAAATTTAATATAAAATACTATAGATTTTTTGTAGGAATGATCTATAAGTGGTCAAAACCTTTCTTTGAACACTTTTCATCTTGTTGATTATATTAAACAAATTTATCTAAGCTATGCAAATTGCGTATGGCAACTAATTTTTAAGTCGATAATTTGAAAAGATTTAAATATGTCGGGTAGTATGGGCCACACTAACACAAGGTTTAAAATATAAGCAAATAATTTTTAGGGTACAAATGAATATATTTTCATTCTGTAGTCCAATTACAATAATAGAAGTAAAATTCCTTACTTTTCCATCATTATCCTGTTGGTAAAAGTTAATTTTAAGGTACCGAACCATTCCTCCTCGCTTTTCATCGCCAAATTTTTTCTCCAAGGGCAAGATGGTTTGGCGATGTGAGGACCTTTGTTTTGGGTGAGCAGTGAACATTTTCTTGTTCTCGTACGTACGCGAACCGGGCAAATTTTTTTAACTTAAAAAAACATCAGCGGCTTCGCTTTCAGCAAAGCTAAACAAGTAGATTCGGCTTCTTCATTGAATATTAGGAATTTAGTTTTTTTTAGATTCCAAATACGAGAATTTTGCATTTTGGACATTCATATCCATTAGATATCAATCCTTTATCCATACACCACTGCAAAACAACTTTTGCTTCTGCTGTCAGAAGTTTGTCATAAGCCGATATGCTTCCAATTTTGCAAGAAACATCGTTTCGTAATGAATTGCATCTTGTTGAAGAAATTTGAGAAACTGCAGCCATAATGAACACAGCAGTTTTTAAAAATACACGAACCAAACTGTCAAAATTAAAACCATTAAATTCCAAACGAAATATTATGCAAATTCTATTAAATCGCCCAATAAAATTTAAATTAGCGCATAGCTGACCTATCAAGACGAAGCTTCAAAGCGCAGAACTCCAATTTAATGATGCGCGGGCCAGACACTAATCTGAACGTCACGGCGCAACCAAAACAAATGTAAACACATCGCTAAACCGTCTTCCTCTTGGCGTCCAAAAGTTGGCGATGCAAAGTGAGGAGAAACGGCTCCGTACCTTAAATTTAACTTCAACCATCCTATTAGTTATTTAATTTCAGTTATTAATTATTTAATTATTTTTTCTTCTTTGCAATGAACTTCTAGGCGTACCCTACTGATCGGATGCAGCCCTTTCAGACATTTTATTTTCCCAAAAAACTAGCAATTGCAATTAGTTTAGTTTAATTATATTAATGCCCCGTTTTGAAACAACGCGAGGGCTATTTTGGGACGGATCTCGCCATTTTGAACCGCAGTCAGGACGCCGCCTGAGGTGGCATCCCTCTCTTAAAACTTCCGAACCACACGAATTGGAGGACGTTTGACCACTAAGTGTGATTTAACGCGCAAGAGGCCCCATACACGGCAGAGTTTTAGTGGAATCGGCTTTCGTCTTCCCTAAGCCGAGACCTTATCACTAGGCCACACCGCGGCCCTTCTTGCAGTTGCAAGTTTTATGGCATTCGAGGACCACTGTCCTTGGTCCGCGCCTTCAGGTCTCTTATTAAACTTAAGCGTTTTTTTGCTAAGTAAAAATGTATATTTTACTCACATGGCCCCTACTACCCGACGACATTGAAAAACCCGTCCATCCTTGTAGACTCTAAACCCAATGGGTGAGTCGGTGGACGTGGGTCATGGTCATGGACGACATTGAAAAGAAAACAATGGAGACTTCTGAAGTCGGTTAAAGGAAGCAAGGTGAAACTTTCACGGCATAATCTAAATAAAATAACCTAAATAATAACACTAGTTTCATAATTTTATTCTTACCTGTAGAAGTGCAAGAAGTCGCCAAAAATTATACGAGGCAACCACTTGTAGGTTGACAAAAAAAGAAAATTTATTGAGAAAACACACAAAGTAGTTATGTCAACCAGGTATCTGCACATGGCAGACTGATACTATGGCTGTACTACAGGCATAATAATAGGATACTATCAACTGGCAGGCCCTAGAAACACTTGTAGTACCATACTACCTACCGTTCTCTTATTACTTGCTTTTCATAAATAATTACTTCTGTAATACTGTGTATTAAAAATGTCTAGGTCGTGCAGGTTCGGCGACTCTCCTCTATATTGTGCTTCCATAAGCATTCACATGTCCGCCTCCTTCAAAAACTGAATACCATTATCCTTCAATATTACACATCTGTAAAGAAAAATACTACTACATTAAACTGAGAGTTTGCCTTCAGTAATTGTTCGATCCTGTAAGTAGCTGCATTATTTAGAAAGAGTTTAATGCAAATTTTATGATATATATGCAAAAAAGTGATATTTTCTATCTTTTTACTCTTGCGTTATTGTAGTGGTGTGGCGTGAAAGTTATGACTGAGTTATGTTGGTTATGAGTCGTCCTCGTCATCAGACTGGAAATCAAAAATACAAGGTCTATCCCAAAATACCCTTCGTATGGCTTCAAAACAGAACTATAATACGACTTAACTAAACTTACGTTATTAGAATTATTATTTAATAACTAGCCGCCTTCGGCGACCAGTTTGTTCGTCGGGAATATAATTTCCTTAATGAATCACTTATGCATAGTTTGATATTCATGGTTCCCTTAACAAAGTAATTTTAAATTCCATATTGTCATAGGCATTTAACCCGTTTTCTTTTAGTAGCTTTGCACATGTTCTGTTTATTGTCTACATGAATGTCCCTAATGGAGTAAAGAAACTGTCCGTGTAACATCTTAATTGTACGTTTTCGGCGCCAACTTCACTTTCTTATTCCTCGCGCAAAATATGCATTTCATTTCAACATTAAAAAGGCGAGGCAACTGTACTGATGAAAAGAATTAAAACTTAGCAACCATATTCATTCAGCTTAATGAATACATTTTCTAATATATTTAATACTTTAGAGGATTTTGTTTACAGATTTCCAGAAAACCTGGTGAAATAAAAAAGGGAAGAGCATTCATTAGGATATTACCTTTGCTTTCAACAATGGAAGAGAAACCCGCAAATAATTATTTGTTTAAACAATGAAAACTGTTTGAATTTCTTTGTAACAATGAAAAGTATTGTTGCAAATCATGCCAAAAAATATTCCTAAAAATGTATAAAAAATTTAGAAAAATCGTACGGCAATTTAATTCACATTATTGAGAAGGTAATTGTTTGCCCTTTCAGATGGTGTAAAAATGATTTTTGTGCTGTAATATTTTCTTAAGTTATGAAGGAAAAACGCTAAAATTTCGCTTAATTTTTAATTAATTAAAATATCAAAAAGGGGATCCGAGGTACACATTTCCACCCTTCAAAGTATGTTTGTGCCAAATTTCGTAGCTCTAGGTCCAGAAGTCTGCCCCGTAGAGCGCCAACATACATAGACACACATTCTCCTTTATTATTATAGTATAGACATAATATCTTCGCCAGTACCATATGAAATAACTAAATTTAAAAGTTACTAAAGAGCACAGGTTTTGGTTATATCTTTTTACATAAAGTTTTCAATAAGAATGAAAACAACAATATAGTTCTTATAATCGTTAAACGATTCAATCATGAATGTATGAACATTTATGATTTTTTAGTAAGTTTTTGATTTTACCTTATGAAAGCTTATTAATTAAGCTTGATGGCTAATATTTTGTTGGGTCTTATAGCGTTTTTAATGTTTTTTCCTTTTTCTTTTGATGTATGTTCTTGTTGATTTGCTACCTGGTTTCTTTGTTTTGGGGAGTTCGGGCTATGAGAAGCACTGTCTTAGCCTAAAATAGGCCTGCTTCTTACAGAAAATTCCTAAATATTCTTTTGAATCCATTTCGAATAGTTCTTAGCCTTTGAAAAAGTGAACTAGAATGGATTCCTTGTTTTGTTGTTTGCTTTTCGTTTACTTCAAATTACTCTAGGATTGCTTGTATTGCTTTCTTTTTTTAATTTTGGCTTTATTGGTATATCTATCTATGAATACTCCATAATACTCAAATATGAGAAATATCAGAAACATGACACAAGGTACAAAAGTGTCTCATAAATAGAGGAGCAAATGCATCAATTAAAACAGATTTCTAATATAAACGCATATGAACAATACACAAAACTAAGCATTATGTACCAAAAAGGTACAACATGAATAAAACTGAAAAAACACATTGTTTTATTCTTATCGAATATCCTTAGTGTAGGAAAACACATTTTAATTGTTTTGTAGGTACTAAAATGTCTACGTTATTGAAAGAGTTCCCCCGGCGGAGTTGTTTGAGCTAGTAATAAAACTGTCCCAACAAATCCTGAAAGCCTCGGAAATTCTAATAAAATCAGAGGCCGGAGTTATTTCGACAAACACTAGCTTCGTATGAATGGCCAACAAAAGACTAACGAACTCTAATAAACTGAAAGAATGTGGTCGAGCAAAAGAGAACTGGAATTCTCTTATTATTGGATGATTTACGGTGCTAAAAACCATAGGTGGATATTGCACTCTTTCAAAAGGAGAGTTTTTCCGCAACACAGAAAGATCGGATGGATAAACTGAGCTTTATTAGACAGAAATACCATATCGATTAAATCGTTTCCATGCGTGCAATTTGTGTCCTATGTATTATATTTAGATAATGCCATAACAAAAGGCTTTATTCAGTGTTTGGAAGAGTGATTTTAATCCGTTCTTTACGTTTAAGCTGTATAAAGTAAGATGTTTCGAATTTATTATTTGCTATTTGAATATTTCTCAAATCTATTAGAAATAGTAGCTGTAGATCCTTAGCCAAATTAGTTAAATTGCCGTCCGTTTTAAAGCTAAACGAAGTCTATTTTGTGACGGACTTCGCAATTTTAAAAGTAGCCGATAACGAGAACGACACCTGAGATGATAGGCCTCTTTGCAGATTTCCAAGCCACTCCAATATGTGGACGTTTGACCCACGATGGCGAATTTACATTCGGTATGCCCACATGAACCACGATCTTCAGTGGAGTTGGGTCTCGAATCCGCAATCCTCAGATTTCAAAACTGAGACCTTACCACTAGGCCACAACACCCCTCGGACCGTAGATATTATACACACTGAAATGTATTTTTACGACCTAATAATTATTTGTCATGACATTATGACACAGATTGTCATGGGTAATGCTGACCAAAAATAATTACTGATACTATGAGATCCACATACGATTATCATAAACTTCAACTGCATTAAATACGGCAAATCGTCAAGTTTCTTTGCAAATTATTAACCACTTAACAATTTTGCCCGAACACCGTTCAGGCACTGTGAAAGGGGTGTAAAATAATGACCTGCCCGAACGCCGCTTGGTCAGGTCATTTTTTAAGCCAATCCACTGATTTTCCCAGCTTTTTCATTTTCTTTACTTTGTAATGTTTCTAGTAAATGGCTATGGCAGTTTAATTAAAGTTGGATAGAAAAACAGGTGCAAACCTGTTGTAAACCATTTGTTTTATGTCAGATATGGTTAGGTTAGACAAATTTTAGGTCCTTTTTTCCCCTACAATAAAAAATTAATAAAATCAATAATTGTAACTGTTTCGACACTGCTGATTTGAATTTCTAAAATCAATTTGAATACAAAATTGCTTATAAAAATGCGTGAAGACAATATGGCAGAAAAAAGAAACTATTAAGTGGTTAAAGTTTAATGTGCACACAATAAATGGTTCAACAGACTTCCAAACGCTAATTGACTTTCCGTGTGTTTAGTAGCATTTGCGATATTAAATTGTGTAAATCATCTGCCACAGAGATGCTCTATTTCAGATAGTCCATATCGGAAACTTTTGCTGATACACAATCATGTTCAAAAATCATGGCAAAAAATCGTATTTCAGTACGGCTTTTACATGGTAACTGGCAATCAGTATGTGCCCACTGTGAGAAACGGCTCAAAGCAGTTGCCGACAGTGCGCACGAGCAAACTTGGCACTTAGATTGAAAAAATAAAAGTTGAAGCGATCTCTTATCGATGATACAATTCCAGTGGGGTACCTCAAATATGTGAATGAGAAACCGCCTGATTAGTAAGCGGGATCTCGCTTCCTAGGTAGGTACAATAATGGTGGTGTGGTTGTTAGAGCCCATTTTCGATGACGAATCTTAATCCCGTTAAGAGGGGAACGTCACATGAGCCGTTCGTAATGGGGGCTATTATGCGTTCGGCCACAATGCCCATTTTAATTGTCGCAGCGGCCAGTCACTCGATATTACATGGATGCTACGGAAGGGTGGTTTTCTCTTTTAAGACTATGGATGATACAGCACTTTCGTAAAGAATCATGTATGGTTCTCTCAATGTAAAACTGTGCCTTTAGTATACCTTCAGACCGAACACTTTGTATGTGGTTGTTAACCCTAAACTGAATTATTTTTTTATTTTTCATACTTTTTATGTTTACTAATGTAAGTGTGTAAGTAATGGGAGTACAGAAAATATATTTTTAAAAAGATATCTTAAAATAAATTCATTAACAAAATTAATTAAAAACTGTATTTGTTTAGTTAAAATTTTCTACTTCAAGTTATTTTATCGATCAATTATAAAATTAATTGAAATTAATTTTAAAAACATAAAACAGTAAATGATGCAAATATGTATTATTGTGTAATGCAGGGTTTCCATACGACAATAAATTGAAAGGTTTGGTTCAAGACCTTAGATTTTTAACCAAACCACAATACTATTGAAATTTCCATATACTTTTCCAATAATTTTGTAATTATCCTAGTTATCTTTTTATTTCTGACATTTCTGAATGCAGTGATTACTTTCTAATATATAAGAATAAATTTTACTAAAACTGCTTCGTGACATATTCTAACAAATGAATAATTATCGATGCACATTTTGAATGCCATTTGCATAAAAAAAGTTAAAATGACGAATGGAATATTTGAAAAAAATTAATTTGGCGTTAACATTGTCACAGTGCTCATTAATATTCGTCAAGCGTTTTGCAAAAGGATATTGAATGAATGGAAATCAATAAAAATTGGAAACCGTTATTTTGTGATTACGGGAGGGAAGAATCGAATATCGTTTCCCCTCAATTTCTTTCAATTTCAGAATGCAACACAGAGGGAAAAACACCAATACAGATACTGCTGCGTCCTTACAGATAACACCAGGATATTTAAAATAAAGGATATATTTATTGGCAAATGAGCTCTAAAAGATAAAGACTAATATTATTTATAACAATTTTAAATAAACTAGAAATACAAAAAATTGGAAATGTCAAGTTTATTCTGGGGATTATATGATTATATGAAACCGTTAAAAGGATTTCTAAGGAAAGCAATTTCTGTTTTTTTTGGATAACGAGTTCCACAATTGAGAAGTTCAATTCAAGATAAATCTGAATTGGTTGTATTCTATTGAGTTAGATGATGAAATAGCGTTTTTGTTAAAAGCTAGATAATCGGATTTAAGGATTACCATGTCAATAAGTTGATTTAGAAATTAGACTCTTCTTATAAGAATTAATACACGTTAATTCTTCACGCTTTGAATTGTTGTCATGGTTTGAAACATTATCGTTTTTTCGGAATGTATTACTTGGTGGACAAATGCTCTCCTTAAGTTTTTATATTAATGGAGTGATGGCAAATTAATTATGCAACTAAGAAACGATAACATTTGTTTGCTTCTAAATAAATTAATTAGCATGTTTATCTTACATTTCTAAAATTACTTTTATGACTAAAACAACACCAATGTACCATTATCTGATTACTTTCTATTTTCTTGGAGTTCTAATTAAACATAAAGAAACAAATGCTGCATTGGATAATGCAAGTGATTAGAAAATATATTTATTCGACAAAGTTATTCGAAATGTTTCAATGCTACTTTAAAAATCACGATAAATTGTAAATAAACTAATTAAGTAGATAGTGATACTCATTTTAGTTATTATCGAGAAACTAGCCGTCCATTAAAAATAAATAACTGATAAAAAATGTTTAAAAAAGAGAATTATTAGTTGAATTGAGTCTGTCATTTTCCCAATCATTTTTAAATTCGGATTCAAAAACTTTTTGGTGTTTGCTATAATTCATTCTTTTAAACCGTTTTTATTTGCTAATCAATGCAATGATACGTATGTTCAAAACCTACAATTCTTTTCAAAACAGGAAACAGTTTCCAATTATTTATTAACCGTTTGAATGATGGAAAAAAATTCGCTCGTTTTTCTCTAGCACGTTTTAAAGCATTGTTTTTAACATTCATTTAACAGAAACCGTTATTTTTAACATTTATTTAACAAAAACCATTATTTCAAATTCTTGAGTATTGATTTTTGTTGTTGTCAATGAAATATATTAAGATCCGTTTGGAAACAACAAAATGGACTTTATGGAAATGTCATCGCAATTTTTGTCAGAGAGCGATGACGACATCTGAGGTTGTATCTAATTCTCCGCCTTATTACTTTTGTTTTTAATATAATTTTAGATGCATGCAAGAGTTCAACAATTTATATTTTCGTAGATCATAAAGCCTGAACTTTTGTCGCAACGCTAACATTAAACAAACTTCTCAGATAAATGTACCATAGTTTTTTTGAATATATTATAAGCTTTTTTATCGACAATGTTTATCATCACTATTATATTAACTTTCACACTTCTAATATTTATGTTTTAATTTGACATTGGTACCCACATATATGTATTACCTCGAGCCTCAAAGACAGCAATTTTTTCTCCAAGTTGATTAATTCCCTTTTTTCACCTTTTTATGAAGCCAGTTATGAGGGTGTTTCAAAATGTAAAATAACAAGAGCTCTGACTGGTGCACAAATTCCCCGTGAGTGTTATATTCCCTGTATGGACAACTGAAACGACCAGAGCATTCAAACATATTCGATAGAGGAAGTCAGTTATGCAGTTGTGTGATAAGCGTTTTGCGTCTAAAGAAAATGTCTGAAAACGAGCAACGATCAGGGAGATAAAGCACTTACACCGTCTATGGCAGTTTCTGGAATACCCTCCATACAGCCCGGACCTCCCGCCATGTGATTATCATCCCTTTGAAAGAAGCACCTGGGAGGTCAGCATTTCAGAATCTATACCGAAGTTCAGCAAGCCATCTTGGAGGAAATTCACGCCCTTGGAGCTGATTTATTCTATGCCGGTTTCGATTCGTTGGTGCACCAATGGAACAAATGCTCCAAGAACCATGGTGACTATGTGGAAAAGTGGCATGCATTAGTGACTTACTCGTTGTGTGTCTCTTAGAATTTGTGAATAAAGATTTTCTCTCAATAGACTTGTGACTTTACTTTTTGAACTGCACTAATATTATCCAAACTACGATCTGGCTAAATCATTCAGGACATTATGTATTCGTAATACGGATATTAATGAACAGAGTGGTTGCCTCATATTAGAAGACTTTTACTGTGTCTTATAATAACTTTTAATTAGAAAATAAACAGCTTAATTTAATAGCTATGTTTCACAGGAAAAATTAGAAAAGTTAGTTTCCCCATTTTATTTCTTTAAGCATATTTCTGAAAGTATTATTTAACAAAAATATGATTTAAAAATTGTCGCCATATCTACAACACTTTATTAAAAAACATGCATGCATTTTACCTAATTTATGAAGAGACTAAAATTTTAGTTATTTAAGCATCAGCAAATGAATGCGTTTTATACGAAAGCATATTTATTCTACAGTTAGTTCTAGAATGCAGAGATATCTAGCCTTACACATATATCTAACAGTATACAATTCTTAGACATGACGAAAACAAAAAAAAAATATGTGCTTTTCCCCAGGGGAAAAAGAAAACACTAAAAGAAAATTGTTTTGGGTTTAAATTAGGAAAGAGTCGCCAAGAATTGAAAAACATGTCTCCAAATAAAGCTTATATTAGGATAATCACAAAATGGTGTATTATTTACAAGGATTTTCCCTTTTACAAAGAATAGTCTTAAATATTTCCTTCGTTCTTCCTAAATTTCACATTTGTTTATAAAATTGTACAGGAAATGAGAATTATGCATATTTAATGG